ATATATATGTATATCCCTTTTTATTGATAGTACCAGGGATTGAACTTGGGTTCTTACGCTTGTGAAGCAGGCAGCAGAACCACTGAGCTAAACCCCGAGCCCTTATAGTCACTTATTTTGGTGTGGCTTTAGGACATAACGTGTATTTCATTTTTATAGATAAACCTTAAATTTTAAGAGTTTTGCATGTGATCTTCTTGTTCTCTTAATCTCTAGCAATTTAAATCATTACAGCAAAAGAATTGGTTTTGCTTTAGCAGGTATATGTTTTAGTATTCCATTTAGTACACTGGCTATTTGTAACTTACCTAAACATAGGAATCCCGAGCTAGCTTCTGTTTTTATGCAACAGCAAAGGCGCCAGCAGAGGGAATTGATGAAAGCTCTCCAGCAGCAGCAGCAGCAGCAGCAGCAGCAGCAGAAACTCTCAGGTTGGGGGAATGTGAGCAAACCTGCAGGTACCACGAAGTCTCTCCTGGAGATCCAGCAGGAAGAGGCCAGGCAGATGCAGAAGCAGCAGCAACAGCAGCACCAGCAGCACCAGCAACCAAACAGAGCCCGGAATAACACAGTGGGTGCATTATCCTAAGCTGTCCTAAGGTCACAATAGTGGACTGGTATTTGTTAATCTTTTGCAATTGTTGGCCACTATATCTTTTTAATAGTGTTAGCCATAATCATGTGTCTCTTTTTCTTTGACAGCATTCCAACCTGCACACCAGCATTGGGAATTCTGTTTGGGGCTCTATAAATACCGGTCCTCCTAACCAATGGGCATCTGATATAGTCAGTAGTATCTGGAGTAACGCTGACACTAAGAACTCTAACATGGGATTCTGGGATGATGCAGTGAAAGAGGTGGGACCTAGGAATTCAACAAATAAAAATAAAAATAACGCCAGTCTCAGGTAGGGCTCAAAATGATCACACTGATGTACATTCATTGGTTGGGAGGTGAGGCTGGTGTGAGTTGGATTTGGGGTAGACAGGAAGAGGTAGCTTATACTTAGAGTTTTCATCTCTGTCCATGCACATGGATTATACTTCATAAATTACATTATAATAACTATTCATAATGTGAATGATGAGTCATAACTATGGTGATTGCTTTCTTCTCCATAGAAGCACATTTGTGTTTATTGGGGTTCTTTTACTGAGCACTTACCCCATTGCTTATCACTTAATAATAAATATTAGGAGTAGTATTTTTATTGTTGAACATTCTTAAACCTGTTTATTTGTATATTAAGTTTTTCACCTTCATCTACCTTTCTCACTGACAATATCATTGAATCAGCATGGATTTTAGTGTTAAATATATGGACTCAAATCCCAGCACTGCCACCTACTAGCTGTGTGATCTTGAACAAGAGGGAACCTCTTTGGGACTCAGTTCCCTCATCAGTAAAATCAAGATAATAATAGTAACTTCCTGGTGGAGTTGTAAAGGTTGTGAGGACTTGTGAAGTGGTAGCATGCTGGGCACAGAGTAACTACTTAATAAATGGTAGTGTCAGCTTCTTTTTGACCAAAGGCCTCCTATATTATGAAATAGACAATAAATATGTGTAAGTTTAGTGAGCATTTTTGCCAGGCACTGTGTTTTAAGTCTTTGTATACAATGCCTTTATTCTTTATCGTAATGCAAAGAAATGTTGGTACCGTTTTATAGGTGAAGAAACTGATTAGTAAAATTAAACAGCTTATCCAAGTACGTGTGGGAAGAATGTTATCATCTCTAAATAGAAGATTTTTAAGGGCGTGTCCAAGTCAAATATTTGATCTTTTTTCTTTTTTGGAGCCAAGACTTGGGTTACTGGACAGCCATGCAATGCTTTTAAGACATTATTTATGGAGTTATAGTATAATTATATAGTAATAATTTCTGGGAATATAATACTTCCCTATTGTTTTGCTTTAGTAAATCTGTAGGTGTATCTAACCGGCAGAATAAGAAAGTAGAAGAAGAAGAAAAGTTGCTGAAGCTGTTTCAGGGAGTAAATAAAGCCCAAGATGGATTTACCCAGTGGTGTGAACAGATGCTTCATGCCCTTAATACAGCAAATAACTTGGATGGTAAGAATCAGGGAGGGAATCCCTGCACGTAGAGTGATGGCAGATTACTTGGCAGATGGAACAACAAGCCAAAGTTTAGGAGATGAACTCTGAGGAGGTCAACTCAAGTCGTGCTATAAGAATTTCCCTCTTTGTTAGTATTACTTGTGAAAAAAAGTCATGTAATCCTGAGATCATATAAGTTATGAGAATTAAATTTAATTCTCTCTCAAGCTGTCTCACTAATGTACAAGGCAGAGGAGGTCATAGTTCCATGCTGCTCATCTTATGGGGATGTTATCAGCTGTGTCAATTCCAGGAGAAGGTTATGTCATGTGAGGACCAAGGTCAGCCTGGACAAAAGAAGAGTGAGGTTATACAGCATCATTTCTTTCCTACCTTTGGGGAGGGGGTGGAAATTGTGATAGAGCATAGAGCAAATAGACTGATATTTGTATGGGATAAAACTGTGTGCAGAAGTGAAAGGGTTTTTGCAAAGTTTGAAGATAAACCTAATAGTTTGCTATTAACAGAAACATCTGCCTTAGATGGAAGTGAGTTCCCCTTCCCACTTGCAAGGTTTGAATAGAGATTTGTCAGCATGATATAGCCAGGGTTCCCATAACTGACAGACCAAGTTGAGCTAGTCCACCTCTGCTAAAAACAGAGCAAGAAAAAGGAACTGATGCTTTCCTGTGTAGCATTGTAACAATAGCTGTGGTCCAGAAATTTCAGAGAACAATTGTTAAGTAGTTGCTGTCATCCATTAAGCACCTACCATATACTAGGCATTGTCTAGGGCTAATGTGTTATCACAGATATCCAATTTTGGCAGTAATGTTTAAAGATACCTTTACAGGGTAGGTAATATTATCCCCTTTTTATAAATTGGGAAACGGAAGCTCAGAATGGTTAAGTAACTCATCAGAGTCACACAGCAGATTTCAGAGTCAGGTTTTAAACCTGTATATGTCTGACTTTGGTAACTTGGGCCTTTTCTCTGATACCAGATTACATGCATTTTCCATTTGAGTTCTCTCTGAACATATAATAGAGGTGGCTTACAAGTTCCAGAGGATATATAACTGTATCATCTTTAGTGTCTATCGTGGTGCCTAACATGCATCACAGAAATAAATATTGATTACATTTAAGAAAAGAAACAGTGACTCCCAAATCACTTTAGTTTTAGGCATGTCACTATTTTAATTGACTTGTCTTTTAGTTTCAACCAAAATAACATTTAGTAAGGTTCAATGTGTGAGATGTATGTCTCTGACACTATGCTATTTTGGGCATAGTGATACAATATTGGGCATTATGGTGATAGTGTTTTTTAATTTCTGCAAGGTTGATGAAAGAATATTTAACACTGTGTACTAGTTTCTGTTCTTCACATCTGTGCTAGGTGTAATGATGCATTAAAACTGGAAACTGATCTTTTGTTCCTTGTCCTTAAAACTTCCATCGTTAATCTTTATATCTTTCCCCTTCCATATTGCAGTTCCCACATTTGTTTCTTTCCTGAAAGAAGTAGAATCTCCTTATGAGGTCCATGATTATATCAGGGCTTATCTAGGAGATACTTCTGAGGCCAAGGAGTTTGCCAAGCAGTTCCTTGAGCGCCGTGCCAAACAGAAAGCCAGCCAGCAGCGTCAGCAGCAGCAGCAGCAACAGCAGCCGCAGCAGCCGCAGCAGCCGCAGCAGCCGCAGCAGCAGGTATGAAGTAGCATAGCGTGTGCAGCACCTCTGTGAATATTAGTAATGCTTTTAAGCTGTCAGCACAGAAAGGAAAATTACATGATTCTCTTGTATAGCCAATGACCAAAGCTTTTAAAATCTGTAGACTTCATATTTTCAGAGTACATGTCTGGAGACCTTTGTGAATTTCCCAAATAGTTAAAAAAAAAAAAAAAATGGAAACAAAGCTTTTGTACATGGAGTGGGGGGGATAAAATAAAAAATAAATATATATAACCATGCTATATTAGGCATGCCAATTCCATATCTCTGCAAATTCTGACACATCACAGACCTGTACATTTGGTTTTTGGTTTGGGAATCCCTTGTACCAGTACAGCGATGCTGTGGCATGCCACTTTTTTGGGAGAAAGGGTATTGGGGTCAAACTCAGGACCTTGCACTTGTGAGGTAGGTGTGGCACCACTGAGCTAAATCCCCAGCCCTAATGTATTTTGTTATTGATGAGGATGTGAAAAGTACAGTTAATTCTTCTTATAGTTGTGTTCATTAGAGTCTTAGAGGCTCCATGAAGACTGAATGGCAGGTACTAAACCATTGCTCCTAAGGAGTATCATCTAATCCAGTGATGACAAACCTTTTAGAGCTTTCAGTGTTAACAGCTTGCTGTGGCATGTGTGCTATAGGTTCACTGTCACTGATGTAATCAGTTTTTTTCCCTAAGGTGCAGCACAACCTTATTGATTGTGCTTAGGGGCACTAGATGGCATGTATGCACTATACTGGGGCCATGTTAAATAATACAATTATTAGAAAAGCAAAACATCATGAAAAACATGGCACGAAGTAGACTGAAAAGAAGTACTTGTGTACAGCATGAGAACTAAAATAGGAAGGCAGGATCACTTTCTGTCCTAACTGGAGATGTTACTTTGAATGGCTCTTTTTTTTTTTTTTTTTTTTTTAACAAGTCAGTGAATTTGCAACTAAGAATCCATGAAGTTACATGAGTTTTCTGTAAGACAAGTTGGCAAGGCTCACAGGCATAAAAATGTCTCTGTCCTTTATCTCCATATTTCTTGGACTAGAGATAATAAATACTTGTTAGAGGTCAGTTCTGGAGATAAGCAGAAGGCATTTAAAATCCAATTGTGTAGAAGGGCTAACAGCATGAAGAGGAAGTGTGAAAGTTGCTGTATAGAGCAGCTGTAGGACAGGTATGAGGCTTCATGAAACAGTGCAGGAGGCACCTTGTGTTTGTGTGTGGCCTCTTCTGTGGGCTGAATCAGAAGGGTGAAAGCCCAGCTAGTGCTTGTATACATATGTGCCCCGGGCATGTCTTTTCAGAGTGCTTCCTCTCCTCCACCCCACTTGTCCTTTGAATTGGCTTGTTGAAAATGACCTCATTTAAAGAAATGGATTGCTCTAATAGAGCAACAGTAAGTGGTTGGGTGTAGTAGTGCACATCTGTAATCCCAGCACTCTGGGAGGCCTGAGCAGGATGAACGCAAGTTCAAGCCCAGCCTGGGTATTTAGCCACTTAGTGAGACCCGGTCTCAGAATTTTAAAAGGGCTGGGGATGTATTTCAGTGCAAAGGCCCAGGGTTCAATCACCAATTCCAATACTGCGGGCTGAGGGCCCCACTCCCCCCAAGCAACAGTAAGTGCAAAATGGGTTAGTTGGTTATTTCATAGCCTTAGCAGTTGGTAGAAAGTGTATGGGCAATATGGTGGGGCCACATCCCTCCTGGGTTCACTAGTAGAAACAATGTAAATGAATTTAATTGTTTCTGGTAGTATGCAGCCCGCTGGTTCCCAGCCTCTCCTCTGTCCTGGGGCCCAGAGAAGAAAGAGGTGAAGGGTGTACATTACTGAGGGTTCTTTGTCATATTTTTTAGCTAGTACAGACTTTGTAGTCTAGAGAGCTGGCCCAGCAGAATAGAGCCCTGAGTTCACAGGAGAGGCTTTGTGGAAATGTCCTGCTTGGTGGGTATGGGAATGCACACAAGGGAACTGATGCTTATATCCTGCTGTGACCTTCAGTATTGCCAGACCTGTGATAGGCTTTTTGTTTTCAAACTCATGTGTGATAAGGTGGGGGGCAAATCTGCCATTCTCTTAGGACAGGCTGAAGCTGCACCCACTCTCGGATCTCAGTTGTGTTCTCTGTCCACAGAACTCTGTGTGGGGGATGAACCACAGTACACTCCATTCAGTATTTCAGACCAATCAAAGTAACAACCAACAATCCAGTTTTGAAGCTGTACAAAGCGGCAAGAAGAAGAAAAAGCAGAAGATGGTCCGAGCAGATCCCAGTTTACTAGGTGAGCACAGACCTGAGGCTTCAGCAGGTATTGGGGAGTGCAGGGGTGGCTGTGATCAGGTAGGAGTCTCCATGGTACCACCAAGATTCACAGTCAGCCCAGAATACGCAGCCAGTATTTACTGTGCAACCCAGTGCAGAAGCTGCACCTCATGTGCTAACATTAAAAAAAAAACAGTAGTACATTGTGTGGTGCTTTAAAGTCAAACCATTGTTTCATGTTTATTATTACTTTCCCCAGGTAAGGGCTTCATTTAGTTGGAAAATGATGCAAACAGTAAATATGGTTCAGAAGTTTAAATGCTGATATATGCTGGAACCAGGCCATAACTCTGATCAGGTCTTCAAAGAACCAGTATTTGTTGATATCCACTGTCTCTAGCAGTGTACATGCTGCAGTGGGCTCTCTCTATCATTGAGAGCTCCAAAAGGTTTGCTTTCACTGTTCTGTATCATAGAACTCTCTGAATGACTGTGGGTTGGGCTAGCATTTCAGAGCCAGCCTTGTTTGCTTTCCTCTTGTCTGTGTTGTGCACAGCTGTTCTTGTCTAGCATTGAAGGCCAGCGCCTTCACATAAGGCAGCTTCCTAGCAAAGGTGCCATCTGGATTGGGCTTTGAAAGACTGGCAGGAAGAAGGGGAAATGCTTCTTCAGAAACAGCAAATATAAGCTGCCTGGTACTTAAATGGCTTAATAAGCTTGTGGGGGGTGATGAAATTTAAATTATCTATTTTGAATGTAAAATAAGTGTTTACATTCTACTATGCTGTCTAGAATAGAATGAGTCTGTTAGCAGTTTGGAATGGTGTCCCAGCCAGGAGGCCAACTAGTTCAGGAGACTGCAGCTCAAGATAGTAAAAGTACTGATGGCCTGGAGTAGGGTTTTGGCAGTGGAGCTAAGAGGAGTTGGGTGGATTTCAGAAATTTGGGGGATAAAGTTAGATGGATGGAGATTTGAAGGGTATCTGGCTTGGAGAGCAATATAGATGGTGCTGTCATTTCCTTAAAGGTGGGCAGAGGAAATGGAATGGGCTTTTGAGGAACGAGAAGGGTTAAAGCCCTGGGGGCTGAGTAAGAAATCCCATGGCAACACCCGTGGAGAGTCCTGTGAGAGCCTTGCTGGCTGGCACGGTTATTGTCTGCCCTGGAAAAGATCCTCACTTACCTTAAAGAGGATTCCTGGCTTGAGGAAGATGTGCCACTAAGCAAAATTCTGACTTTAAGGACTGCCCTTTGGGATTGGTGCCTAGAAGCTGGTTTTGGGAAGATACCCGATGAAGAAATTTTTTTTTTTTTTTGTCGTTTTGTCTTAAAAGTTACTGTTATGAATGGATGGGAAAGTCCAAAAGTTTGCATTGTGCTTTTTTTTTGGGTGGGGGGGACTGGGGATTGAACTCAGGACCTTGAGCTTGTGCGGCAGGCAGAGTGCCACTGAGCTAAATCCCTGGCCCTCATTTTGCTCATTTTTGACAGGAATTGTGAATAGCTTGTTTTTTTCTTTCTTTTTTAAGACAGGGTTTTGCTGTGCAGCCCTTCAAGGCTGGCCTTGAAGTCCTGTAGCCTAGGATGGCCTAGAACATGCAGTGATACTTCTGCCTCTGTCCTGAGTGCTGTTATTACTGTCATGTGCCGCCATGCCTAGCTTGTGAATTGTAAATGTGGGTTCTAGCTGAGAATCCCTAGCTGTTTAGCTTTGGGAAGTGAGGTGTATGCTTTCCGGGAACAGGCTTCTCTGCAAATGAGGTCATGCCATTTGGAGTAAGTATTCCATTGCATTTTGTCTTCTGCTGACCTAGGAAAGAAAGGGATTGATGTTAAAGTCCTCCTGCGAAGGAGTAATAGATGGGTCATCCTAAAATAGAGTTAAAGAAATATATAAATCTTAAAAGAGAAGGAAAAGAAGCAAAGAGATGTAGAAGTAAAACTATTCTACAAAGTATCAAGGAAACTCTGGTGAGCTTACACATGGACAGCTGCATGATGCTCAACTAAGCCTCCTTCTGGAAATTCCTCTGGTAATTTCCAGTTTCTGTTCTGTGCCTATTCATTTCCATTTATTACTTTTTAATTTAGATATCTGAGAAGACTTAATAACTACCCATCAGTCACAGGTTTCCTGAGCACAAAGTGGGAAAATAAGCTCTAATTTGAAAGTACCCTTTCAAAGCAGTCCTGATTGAGAGGCTTGCTTCTAAAATAAATCAGCAGAGGGCGCACTAGCCTCATTTTGATTCTCTGCACCCTCCCTAGCACGATAGTCTCCCTCTAGTGTTTAGAGCCTGGGAGGCTGTTGTGAACCAGAAGCCTGCACGTGTACCTTATGAAGACATGCGGTGCAGTTTCCTAACAGACTTCACTTACAAGAACGGTCTCACAGCCTTAAAGAAATTGTGTGAGTGAGAATCTGTTCTGATCCTAAGAGATGTGGTGGATAGAGCAGGCAGTGAGTGAAATACTTATTTGTGTTGCCTTCTCTCAAGTGAAGAGGATGAATGCACACCTCCCTAGTTTCATTAATGACAGTTAAACAGGACCGTGTCTGCTTGCTAAAAGCCTAGCTTTGTAATAAACACGTGATAGGGTTGATAGCATTGATACAATCAACTTTCATTTATTTTGGCTACGGATTTGTTTTTGTATAATTAAAATAAATTTAGCATGTTTCTAAATTACACTTCCATTTCTTGTTTCATGTAGCTCATTATTATCACATTTTATCTTTCTTGAGTATCTGTAGGTGCAAAGCAAAGCTTGCCTCACAATAGTAGTGTAATAGTTCATAGACCATTAGGTTCTTGTACTTACCTGATATTACTTCAAAAATATGAACACTAAGCCTTTTTTGTGTGTGTGTGCTGGGGATTGAACTGAGGACCTTGTGCCTGCAAGGCAGGTGGCGGCACCACTGAGCTAAATTCTTGACCCTCTTTCATTATTTTTAAGGGAAAAAGGATCTCGCCAGTTACGGGCACAGTGTTGATGGGTGGGCCCAGGAAGGGTTTGGAGGCTTGGCCTCTTGCTGGGTAGGCCTTGTCAGCAGCCTGTACCACAGCTTCCACACAGCATGTTTATTTTTTCAACTCATGATATTTTTGAGTCAGTTGAGCTGTTTTATGATGTAAAAGCATTTTTGTTATTAGAACATTTCAAATGTGTATTTATTTGAAAACTTGAAAACCAAAGAACAAAAAAGAGGGTGAAGAAAACCCAGCAGTACTCTAACCGTTTTTGGAATGGAGGCATTGACTGTTTTCTTTGGTTTTTAAATAGCAGCCAAAATAGTTGGGGAGCTCATTCATGGCCCAGGGAGTGGACAGCTTGTGGGAGTCACTCATTCCAAAGAGGCCCTGCTCATTTTAATTTTTATCAGCCTCTGATTATGGATTTGTTTGGAAAATTACAAACTACATGTGACCACTGGCAATAAGTTTTCAAATGTCGGTGGTGTTCGTGTGTGAGTCCTGCGTGTGGCCTTCCATAGGTATACTACTAGTTCTGCTTTTTTTTTTTTTTTTTTAAACCAGATTCCATTTTGGTTAATCTAGTATCACAAACTAAAATTCTTTCCTTTGCAGGCCTGCTTAATACTTGTTTTTCTCTCTGTCTCCCTGTACTACCCATATGATATGCTCAAAAACAAGAGATTTGAATTCTAACCCACTGCCTAGAACTTGAGCCCCTTGGCTGTGGGTGTGGTTGGTGATAGCCAGTTTTTTTTCCTGCAGGGTTTTCAGTCAATGCATCATCAGAGCGGCTCAACATGGGGGAAATCGAGACTCTGGATGACTACTGAAGCACCCGCCACTCTTGCCACTGCACTAGCCTCCCATCTCCTGTCTGCCAGCCATGGATTCTCCGCCTCTGGACGCAACACGCACTCACCATTTATTCTTCATTATTCTGCAACAAATCACAGAACCGATCATCTCAGGCTTTTTTCTTCCCACCCTTTGTGTCCACAATTCTTTAAACCATTTTTGTTGGTGAGCATCTCAGACTGTACATAGTGGACCAGACCCTGCGTCTTCGGGGTGGCAGGTGGGATCGCTCCCCAACAAGGCTGATTTTTGGCAGCAAGTATTCACTGTTTTGTGATTTCATCTACTGTCTCCCAGGAAATGTGTTGGGATCTACCAGTAGTAACTTACTTTTTCTTGTCCCATTTTCCCCTTCTCTTTTGTTTTTTGTTTTTTTTTCTTCTTCTTCTTCTTCTTCTTCTTCTTCTTCTTCTTTTTTCCCTCACAAGGGCAAGGAGGTCTACCTGGTGCAATCATGAAGAGAGTTAATGGTTAACAGACATTGGCCAACAACAAAATGCACCATGGACTGTGACTCAAGTGTCTGACAGAGACAGGCAGAACTCTAGTCTGGAGGCTGCGTGGCTGCTGTAACTTTGGGATTGCATCACAGAGGCCCTGAGTGGGGTGGAGTTGAGATTGGATTGGTTTGATGTTAACGCACCCCTCACCTGTTCTGAGCGTCCTTTCGGAGAAAGGATTCAGGTTTTTCTTCATTAGGTAGTGACTTCTGAGCAAGCTGACTTCTCCCTGGCATACTCCAACTTGATTGGACAACGGAAACCCTGTGGCCAGGGAGAGGGACTTACTCTTAATTTTTCTTTCTTACAAAAATGGATTTTTTTTTCCCATAAATATTTTTACTTCAGAGGACTAGGACCAGTTTGTTTTGGGCCCTTCTGCTGAAAATTTGTCTCGTTTAAGAGGCAGCTAGGATCTTTACCATATGTATGAATTTGTATAATTTCATTTTGGATAGGGATAAACTTGCTTCTGATAAAAGCCCGGAATTTCTGGTTCCTCAGAGCATTGCGTGTGTGTCTTGCTGTGGCCCCGGCAAGGTTTTATGTAAAGATTCTGGGATGGCAAGTTACTTGCCTTTTCTGAAAGAGAACATACAAAACCTGCCCATCTTTAAGACCTCCATCCATGGAAACCACTATATAGGAGGATGCAGTGGGATGGAGGGGATGGGAGAGGACAGGCGGAGAAGCCTGCTCTGGCTTCTGTCTGTGGCCTCCTCATACCCTTTCACTTCAAGTAGAAATGTACTCAAGCTCTATTTATAAACAAATATTCTTCCTGCTTCTCCCAAGCCCCCACAGAAGCACCCTGGCATGGCCACTCGCACCTCAGAGGGAGCCCTGGGCGGCTGTGCCCGTGGGAGGTGCTGTGGTTGGTGGCTCAGGGGTGAAGCACTTTTCCTTTCTGTCATCAGTGCCTGGAGAAGGCTGGAGTTGCTCTGAGAGCAGTTTGGTTTGGGAGGATTATATTTGGTTTCTATTTTTACTATTTTGGATCACCATTCTCCCTATCCCTTCTTGCCTCCCCCTCCTCCTAAATGTGTACAATAACTATACAGAGACTGCTACAAATTTGTATATAGTTTTTGGATCAAATAGCATGAGGAGATGGGGAACCATTAAAATTTGGGGCTCCTATTCTCCTTTGCTTTGTAAATTCAAAAGTGGGGGGTGGGAAAGAGGGATAGTTAAAATGTTTACAAAACTTTAAGCTCCCTCAGAACTTTTGCCAGTGTGGAGGAAAATAAAAAAGAACTTAAATAAGATGTGGTTATGTTCTCTCTGAGCGTACCTCTTCTACTCACCAGTATTAGGGCTGAGTTTTGTGCTAGCTCTTTCTCGGCACCGTGGAGCAGTGCCAAGCCTCCGCAGGCACTCCAAAGGAGGAGGTGGCCCTAGCTGTCTCTTCCAGGCCATGAAGTGCTGGCTGGGCCTGTGTTTGGAGCAGCAAAGGTCAAGGTAAACACGGGTAAGTCTGACCAGTAGCTTTCCACCCTTACCCGTAGCGCACCTCCTCTGCTGACCATGTGAGCCGCCATCTGCCCTCGCACTGTAGGCACACTCCGTCTGAATGTGGCTCCCGTGCCTGCCCTCAGCTTCTAGACCAGACTCTGATCTTTATTCAAGAAAAATAAAAATAAATTTTGGTAAAAACTTGGAGGTGGGGTGGGCAGATTAGCAGAACAAAGTCATTTTAGTCCTAAACTTTCCATGTGCTTACCAAGGAGCCTTGCTTCTGTCAGAGGAATTTCCCACTTGGTAGAAAGAGTCCACTCTTCCCCAGGAATGCTCCTATGTCTCACTTGTGCTCTCTTTGATATTCTTTTCTTATTCTTTTACTGATAGCCACCACTTCCTTACCACCTTCTATAAACTTTTTACTCTTCCTGGGTTATTTTGTGACGGGGGGTGTTTGTTTGATTTGCTTTGTTTTTGGTGTTGGAGCGATGGCCTTGCACAACACCGCTGAACTATACCCCAAAACCCTTCTTGAGTAAAATTTCATGTAGAAAGTTGAAGTTGTTCCTTGGTATCCTCGGGATGGTTCTAGGACCCCTACAAATGACACAATTCATGGGTGTTCAACTCTAATAGACAACAGTGTGCTGTCTACACATAATCACCATAGCCCTCTTATGTGCTTTACATCATCTCTCTGTGGCTTACAATGTCTGATACAGTGTAAATAATTGTCACACTGTGTTGTAAATGACCCAGGAGTCTTTATATATTCAGTACAGATGTAGTCCCATCCTGTCTGCCCCCCCGCCCCAGCATTTTCCAGCCAGAGTTGATGAGAGCTGAGGTCACAGAAGCCGCAGATACTGAGGCCCAGTTGTATTTGTTTTGTGCTCCATTTACTTCTAGATTTTTTTAGTTCTGAGATTTAAAAACTTCCCAGTTTGATTATGCAGACTTTTCCCCCAAGATATTTGGTGCACTAATTACTGTTGCAGCATAACAGCCTTCAAACTGCTTTATTTTGTTGGCGATGTTGTGGCCAGGAATTTGGGAAGGGCTCATTTGTGTGGCGTTGTGTGTGTGTGTGTGTGTGTGTGTGTGTGTGTGTGTGTGTGTGTGTGGCCTGCTGTGGTTATGGTTCAATGTCATCTTGGACTGCTTTCTTACAAAGACTTAATTAATGGGGTGGCCGTCCAAAATGGTTCATTTATGGATCTGGCAGTTGGTAAATACACCACCTTATTTTAGAATTGACCCGGTGACAAAGTAATTTTATACAGAATGTCCTAGTCTGCATTATTAACAGACAGTCCCTGTGTCACTCACTCCCTTTGAAATGAAGGCATCTGTGTCCAGTGCCTCCAGAGTGTGAAGTGGAGCTTTGTCAGAAAGTGGCACATTTGGGCACAACTGGGTGCACAGGAATTGGCCTTCCATTTGAAAGGTCTCTTAGACTAACAAAAGCCCAACTCCAGAGCTTTCTTTGCTCCGACTTGGGTACAGTAAGTTCCCAAGGAGGAAGCTGCAGTGCTTTCTGGAGACATGGGGACCTGGGAGTCAGGAAGCAGCCAGATGTACAGTGCTTATCCTGCATATGTTAGGTTCCCTGAGAATGCTGGCTCTGTATAACGTTTGGTCCTGCCGATCGTGGACTGGGAGCCAAAAGCCTTAATGAGAGTTTTGGCCAGAAATTATCAGTGGAAATGTCTTGCCCCTAAAGTAGCAATCATAATGATGCTCCACGCTGTGGAAGCAACAGCTCATGGATGCAGGGGGAAAGAAAGCTGGGCTCCTTCCCAAACAGCTGTTCTGCTACTTGAGAGCAGCCATTGCTTCCTTTTTCCTTGCTGCAAGGTGGAGTCATGGGGCTGGAACTCAGGATGGCCTCGACACTCATTTCAGTGCAGCTGATCTTAGGAAGGAGAGATGGCTTCTTGGGGACGGTTTATCCCCCTCCTCTAATACAGGAAGGTCCATCAGTGTCCTTAAGCAACAGATTGCCTTTTGCTTTGATTTCCTCTGTTGGCCCAAGAAATGGTGCTGAAAATGGTCAGTGGGTCAGTATTGTGTTTGGTTGCATTTTGTAAAAGGCAGTAACAGTGGCTTGAAGACGGTTTATTGAGTGAAATCAGAGGACATCAGTCAAAGGCTCAGGGACCTGGGTTTTTCTTTTTTGCCATCCTGATTCTGGCTTCTGTCCTGAAGGTCACCAATGATCTAAGGTGGCTACTAGAGCACCAGCCCTCAAGCTCATATTCCAGCTGGGAGGAAGAAGTGGACATGTGCAAGCAGCACATGTGTTTTCTGCTTGTTCAGCCTTTTTAAAGGAGCTTGTTGGGAGCCCTACTTAACATCTTAAATCAGAATGGTAACTAGTTAATTGCAAGAAAGGCTGGAGATTTGGGTGTTTAGTTGAGCATTTTGCTGTCCCCAATGCCATGGAGGTGGTTGGTAGGAGCCGAGCGTGGAGGCTGCACTGGCAGTTGCAGTCGCTTCCATGTTCTGTTTTGAAGTGGGAAACGTAGGCTCGTTGAGTTTGTGCACGCTGACCATGAGAAGATAGCACTAGTGGCGACCCCAGTGTTCCCCCTGGGCTGAGGATCTTAGTGTTACCCTGTGCGGAGACGTAGAGCAGGCTTCATTTAGGTGGCTCAGCCTGGCTGTGAAATTTCCAGTTCTACGTAGTCTTGAATTTGCTTGTTTTCAGTCCCCCACGGAGTGAACTTGGGAATGGACTCCATTGGGATTGGAATGTTGGTCCGATCACCTACCTACCTGGGTGGGAGGCAGCTTTCTCCGTCTGTGTGAGTCTGTCTCCCTGTCTGTGCAGTGAGAGCGCTAGAAGAGTCCTAAACAGTAACTTGAAAGTAATTACTGTGCAGAGTGCAGTTCCCAGCACCTGAACACTTGGTAAATGCTGCTTGTGGGCCACAGTACGAGTGAGCTAGGTGTTTGCAGGCATGCATACAGGTGGAGCAGAGCGTGTGCAGTAGGTGACCCATGGCGCACGTGCTGCACTGGGCCATTATTGAAAGCTCTAAAAGGTTTGGCATCATCGCATGGGGGTAAGGCACCTGAAACGAGCACAGTGAAGTATAGCCTTCAGGGTGCAGTATGGCACAGGTTCCGGGAGGTCACTGGCAGTCCTTCCTGTCCTGTGACTGGCCCTCAGTTTCCTTATCTGTCAGATGAAGGGGTTGGCCCAGGTCATCTTGAAATATAAGTCAGTCCCTGAGCTCCATGTGCCACTTCTAATCTGTTTTCAGTCCCCAGGTGATTGTAAGTGAGGCCCAGTGGCCTGGCTGATCTAGGAGATCCTCTTCCTATCCATCCTCACATGTGTGTCACTTGTGACAGTGTGTGACGAGTAGTGACCCTTTACAACTTTACAGAGGTGAAAGTACAGGGAGTCTTGTGTAAGGGGACAGAGTCACCTACCTTTTTTTCTTTCGGTACTGGAGACTGAACTCAGGACCTTGCACTTGAAGGCAGGTGGCGGCACCACTGACCTAAATCCCTGATCCCAAGTTGTCATTCTTAATGAGAAAATTCAAATATACAAGTTGGCTAGTGTACCAAACTCCCTCCTAGATAAGCTAGCTTCAGTAATTATTGACATTTTGCCCGTTTTGCTTACCCTTTT